ATGAGGTACTGTACATATAGTAGTGGGTGAGAGTAACCACTTCATGTGATGTTATTGACATAATATTGAATTTGTTACTTTCTTGACCAACTATTTTGGATGGCTTGTGCATAATGTAATAGCGAAACCTATAAATTCTGGTCTGCAAAGGTCAGAGGTCATGGTCATGGTAAATTTAATAAGATAATTATGGTTTCTAGACCGAAAATTTAGTTCAAGACTATATACTTTGACTCAATGTCAATGCCATTGGAACCCAGTGGTCAGTAATCGCCAGAATCACACATGTCCTATTAGTGCTTTCATGGAGGTCAAGTAAAACATGTTGGGCATATAATGTACTGTTCATGGTACATTTACTGTATTATATGATCTCATAAATGAACTGTTTCAAATTATTTTTTCTCTAAGCTTGCAATTACTGAGCTTTCATTCGTCATATAATAATGTATCTTTTTGGATTAAATATACAATCTATATTTTTTATACCCTCAGTAATTTGAGACTTAATGATTTTTTAATCAAAATAGAAGACAACCATGTGCTGTTTTATACTTTTAAGTACAGAGTTATTTGCCTTAGTCCTGTATAGTCGACAGGCAGTTTGCAATTTTGCAGTTTACCTTTCATTGTGGCAAAATATTTTGAAAATGATTTGTACATTTTTCAGTTTGTCAATTTTACTGCATGATTGCATATGGTATGCTTAATACTTACACAATTTATCTGTGCTCTTAAAAATTGTACTTTTCCTTTATTCCTATAAAAGATAATATAGTTTTACAAAAATATTCAGAATAGTGAATATGCAATCCTTTTGCAAACATTTTTCTATTTTTTGCCCTTTGGATCATGTATTTTGTAAATAGTTAGAAATTAAGATATCTGTATTTTATGTATATCAAATGTCATTATTGTTAAACATGCCTGATTTTATTCAGTTTTATGCTTTAATCATTATTACAGCAATATTTGCTTACTATAAGTCAATTGCAGATCTGGATGTAATGGTCAACAAAATCACAGGACAATGCGCTCTTTTCAAGTCGGTTTGTTACATGGATGGTGGGGTTCCCAGAATGTGCTGCTATAGGATGCATATTGTGACCAGCATCAGCAATAACTTCTGGCATAAGTTCAGGGACAATTGTGTTTAGCATAAAACACTTTTCACTATATCCACGTCATAAGCAAAAAACAGGGGAAATATTTTCAATGCTGAAAAAAGTTTGCGCACAATATATTTTGTGTACTATATTTATTATTATTTAAAATAATTCAGGAAAATTTCAGCTGTATAGAATCTTTTAAGTATATTGTTTGCAATACTAACACAGAAACTTAATCTATTTATATCTTGTGGAAAAATGTCTCAAACACCACTTACTTTATGGCATATTTTTTATGCATGGATTATCAAGTAAAGTGCTGGTTTCTTTGCTTGTGTTTTTGACAGCTTGTTGTGAGTACATAGAGATAAGGCTTACATATGTTTGAATAAGTGCCTTGATTATTTTATTTTGTATATGTCCTATATGCTTTTTAGACTTTTTGTAGGGTATTCGGATCTTGCCTTCATTATGTATCACTATATTTCATCAGTGTTAATGGGATTCAGCATCATCAACAATAATAGGTCACTGGAACCATCAGTAATTATCGGATCAGCATCATCTATGTTAAGTAGGTCGCTGTGACCATCAGTAGTGATGGGATCAGTAAATAACATGAATATGTTTCAGTTCAAATTTTGTAAAATATTAGTACTACTACTGCTAATAATAATAATAATAATAATAATAATAATAATAATAATAATAATAATAATAATAATAATAATAATGAAGCAGGGTAAAAACCAATATCAATTAAATTGGATACAGAAATTTGTTTTTTTTGTCAAGATTTCAGAATCTAGTCTGATTATTCCAAACACAGTGAAGTCCATGATGGTTTAATTTACATGCTGTATATGACCACAGTTTCATTAAATTTCTCAACATGTCTTCACAAATTCACATTCTGTATCATGCATGTCACACTTGTTAATATTTATAAGGGATAGTCAACTAGATGTGAACACATGTTCCCATTGATTCTTTTTATTCTTGAAAGACAAGGAATTGAGGAATTCCTTACACTTAAATACATATGCAAGTTTCAGAATTGAAAAGCTTTGTCAAGAAAATTTGATGCATTTTAACTTTATTTTAACCCTTTTAGATGGTTGAATATTCAATGCAAAAAAAAATGTAAGTGTTGTGAGTCAAGCAGAAGAATGATACAGATCTTTGTGTGATAAAAACTAAATTATATATGAGATTAAAATAAAGAGAAAGTAACACTTCAGTTTTCATTGATATTAATTTTTTAAATTGAAATATAATTTAATTTTTGTATCTATAATTATTGCATATGAGTAAAATAAAACCTTCTGAATATTAAAACCACTTATTGCTTCACATGCATTTGATGCAATTGGGATATATTACCTTAATGTGGGATCTGCATTTAATATGAGGCAAGTCTTAAGTATAACTTAATAAGGATCAGGAGCAACAGCAGCAAGAAGATTCTGTGATAAAGTTGTGTGTATTTATTAATAAAATCTTTTCAAAGGTTTAAGTGATAGTATATTGGGAAGACACTGTACCAATAGAACCATTGTGTGTATATATTAAGTGGTGGTGTTCTTGTTTTGGTTTTTATGCCATATTTAAGCACATGATAGGCTATACATGGTAGCCAGTATAACTTGTGGAGGAAGAAACGGTGGAAAACCCTGGTATGAACCTTTGACCCTTGGAAAGCTACTGGCAATTGTTTTCACATACCCACATTGGCTGAACTTGAGACCCACACCCATGTTGACAAAAGGTGAGATGGCAGAGATTGGTATGTATGAGTGACCAAGACCACTTGGCCATGCTGTGCCTCCAGTGGTTTTGAGTTTTATTTTGAACAATACAAATTATTTCAGAACCATCTACAGCATATCCTATGATTATTTTTACAAAAATGAATATGCTTAATTTTTATTGGTGTTGCACACTGCAGTGTATATATGCAGAAAATGCATGTGTATACAAGTGTGGATATTTATGATAATGTAGAAAAGTAACAAGTAAAAATATTTTCATATGTTCATTAATATGTCTATCAACAGTTATCTTTACATTTTGGTCAGTCTTGGTTTTAAATTTTGACCTTATTCAGTTTGTAAGTTTTATTTTTCTTTCAATCTGACACACCATGTTTTAAGTTGTCATATTTGAAACCATATGGGCCTGAGTGACTGAGTGGTCTAAAATGTTGATGTCAGTGTGAGTTCAAGTCCAGACTCTGCTAACGTGGGAAAGTGAGAAAACCTGCCAGTAGCTTTTCATGGGTCAGTGGTTCTTCCCGGGGTTTTCAGGGTTCTTCCTCCACCATTAATACTGGCCTCCATGCATAGCCTATTTTGTGCTGAAAAATGGCATTAAACCCTACAACAACAACAACAACATTTGAAACCATATATACTGCTTGTATTGCAAATGTTTGTTGCCTTTTTTAATTATCATGAGCAGCAGGAGCCCTATACACCAAACATTTTCATATTCTTTTGCATCTGTTATTAAAAAACACTCCCATCAGATGCATTTTAAATTTTATCATAAAACCATATCTGTATTTTTAATGTAATGAGGACCAATACATACCTGCATGTCAGACAGACAATAACCCATTTGGATCAAATCATTGGCTAATTGAATTTAAACCATGCCCCCCCCCAAACAAAATAACATGCTGCAACACATTATATCTTTTAAACATGCCTTTCAAGCTTGTGAGCAATTATTGATGTTATATTAATTAATTATTATTAATTAATTAATTATGTTTGTCTTTTCAGTACAGTGGTCCTTATTTGATTTAAAAGCAATTTTATGTGTCAATCCAAAGAATATGTATCATCAAGTTTGTGCCAAAAAATGACCCGATTTATAATAGATAAATTGTTCTGTAGTATAATGCATCATTGAGCCTAAAACATGTACAAATTTGTCTTCATTTTAAAATTGTATGGTCAAGGTTGTGGTTGTACAGATGGATGATCAAAGCACTGAATGTCTTTATTGTCCAAATTACTTTGTCAGATTACTTTAGATATCCCAATATATTTTGTGCTGTTTAATCAAACTTTATTGCTTGCCAGAAAAAGTTGAATTGTCTTCCTTAACAGAAGATAAAAGTAAAGGAATTTTGTAAAGAAACTGTGCATTGAAGCTTAGTTGTTTTTGTCAGATCTCTTCAAAAATTGATCTAGACATGTGAGATGTGACATTAACATTTCCTTTAAATACAATGTTCAGAACTCCATAGAACTCACAATATGTAGATATGGTATATAGTCATTTACTGTACAAGTCATCTGAAACTGTACAGAACATCTCTGACATCATTACATGATGTACATGCAGATTTTTTTCTACAAAGTTTGTTGGAAGAAATGAGTAGAGCGGACATCATAGACCCTTATCTGCTGGTGCATTAAGCAATGGCAGATCAGAGTCTATGTTTGTAGTTTTACTCAGTTTCTAAGTTAATTTCATGGTACTTACAGCCTTTAGTTGATCAATCCAACATTTAATTATTTCCTATTTGTATATGAAAACTCGACTCAGTGTTGTCTTTTTTCTTTTCTTTTCTCATTCATTTATAACTTCATAGTCTGATCACATTTATTATACATGACATCAAATGTTTTTTTTTCCAGACTTGTGGATGAAAGTATTTACACTATCTGTAGTTTATACAGAAACTGTTTTTTACTTCTTTGTTTGAGCTGCACAATTTTGATATCATTAAAAATTACTGAACAAGATGTGTCTTTTTTTTTTAAAATCCCAAGTAACCATAAATTGTGATAAGGGCAAGTGAGCTAGATATTTTTGTTCCTAGAGCATTGTGAGTTATAATTTCTTGATTAATATTTTATATTATTGCTAAAACAGATCGCTTCAGTGGCCTAGTGGTTAGAGCATCTGTCTTGGATGCAGGAGGTTGTGGGTTTGATCCCCAGCCAAGTCATACCAAATACTTATAAAAATGTTATTAACTACTGCCTTGCTTGAGCTCAGTATTAAGAGGTTAGTGTTAGAACTAGTCAGCCTAGTATCAGGATAATATGACTGGGTAGGACATGATGTTACATGTCTGCAGCATGATGCCCCAATGCTTGACATCACTGTAAACTGCCACACAAGATATCATAGCGATATGACTGAAAAATTGTTAAAGCTATTTTATAAATCAAAATCAAACACACAAACAGCATATTAGTATTTATCAGCAGTCATCCTGTCATAAAGCTATTTTTGATTTGTTTAAATGACCACCATCAAACATGGCTGCCATTAATAAAATTAGAAACAAATTCAGTGTCTTCTTCCCATTAACTGCAGAATTTGACCACAATTGACTTAAAATATTTTGGCATGAAGGAAGCTCTTCAATGTTTAAAACTGATGCCAATCTGCCATCAGTTATTAAGAATAGAAAAGCATTTCAATGATATCTCAAGAACTGCAAGACAGGATTTGAGTATATTGAAAGAAAGTGCCTGGGCTTGAAGCACTCTCCAAACTGCTTAAATGAGGCCAATCTGCATTATGACAGAAGACTAGAAATTATTAAACCATCTTACCAAGAATGTCTTGATAAAATTGTACCAAATTTGACAGCATGTTGACATAACAGGCTTTAAAGTTTATGCAAATGATTCCAGTTCACTTTCAAATGTTGGTGTTCCTGATTATAAAAAATTAATAATACTGTATTTTAGTTTTTTTTACATGTATTTAAATTGTGAGAAACATCTGATGATGGTTACTGAGAATCACATGTGAGGGTTTCAGTAAGACATTTTCGGTCAAATCTGGTAATAAATCCCAGATGTAATTTGCCGGTCATTACAAACTTGATTCTCAACCACAAATCTATTTATGTCGCATGATATGACTGCTCAAGGCAACAAAGTCACAATAAAAATATTATGGACCTCTTCTGTAATTGTGGGGGTGAATCACCAAGTCCTCCAAACTAATGTATATTTCTACAACAACTTATGGTGTTATTTCTTGACTATAAGGAAACACTAATACTTTATTTACAAATGGTTTAGCGATGTTCCAATCAGTTAGGGTTTATTCTGAGTTATTCCCCTTGTGGAAGATAAAATGACATTTTAAAAAATAATATAATACAGGATTAACAAATTTCAATATAAGGTATTGTTATTAGTAAAATATTACATCAGAGGGATTAATTTGATTTTCCTGTAATTTGAACCTCAAGAAAAATGTTAATTAAATATATAATAATATGTAGTTTATGTGCATGGATAAAAAAAAAATTATGGTTAAGTAAAGCTTTGAAAGTAATTGAACTTGAAAAAAACAAACAATTGTATTAATCATGCATGAACAAATAAATGATATGCAACTTAAATCCAGTTCAATCAGTAGACACCCATGTATAATACGTGTTATGGATGAGTTGTCTGTCGTTCCTTACACTGGAAATGGAGATCAGCATGTGATATACATGTACTTGAAGCATTGATAAACAAATATGGGCATTCAGAATACATAGGTTTATACTACTACTACTACTACTACTACTACTACTACTACTACTACTACTACTACTACTACTACAACTAAAATACTACTACTACTAATCCTAATAATAAAAAGAGAAATAATAACAACATCAGCAATAATAATAATTAATCACCCTATTCCATAAATTGTTTTTTGTAACTAAATAACACACACTGATAGATAAGCAAATTAAAAATATCACTCAGAAATTGGTTTTATACCAAAAGTTTGTGTTAGAATGTATTTATCTTATTTTGCAATAAGCCAATTTAAGTAAATTCTTGTGAAGTTTCAATATTTTTCAGATCACGTTTAGATGTTCAGTTATCATAGCATATTTAGGAGTATGTAGTTTAAATAGACTCTAACTACAATCAATAGAAACTGTCATTGCAGATTCAAAAGGCAGCACTCCTTACCCATACTCTCTGCCGAACTTAAATTTAAAATAAACTTTTCATTAGTCACATCAGCTTAATACTGCTGTACAGATTTTGATATGTAGTAAAATGTCTACATCTGCTCATTTTCAGAATCCTCATTCTGAGTCTGATGATTGTCCAAACAATTTTAATTGAAAATAACATTATTATAATGTTTCTGCAAAGTATTTTAAAATAATATTATTTCAGTTTTGGCTTTTCACTTAAAAAAAAAACAAAACAACAACACAAACATACAAAAACAACCCTTTCAAAATAAATAACAGAATTCAGTAATTTAGGTATTTTAGAGCAAAATAACATTATTTAGCCCAAGAGCATTTTTATTTGCAGGTATTGTGACATTGGTCATTGCATGTATGCAGTCTTTGAATATTTTTTTTTGCTGTTGCAATTGTTTTATGTACTATATTATGTCATTTGGCAGTAGAATATTATACTTGTCCAAGAAAAACCAACAGAATGAACATAAACCTAACATTTGTATTACCAAATTAAAGTTCCGAATTGTTTGTTATTACATCTGTGTGCATTTATTTTATGTGCTACATGTCTAGGCTCTTACAAAAAACAACAAGATAAGAGTGAAGACAACAAGCTTTGTAAAATTTAGCAAATAAATTATTTCCCTAGAAATAAGGTAAAAATGAAAAAAGAACTTACGGTTTTACAAATCAAATTCAAAACAAATCCAAGAATTAAAAAATATAAGTCTTATTATCAAAAAGTCCGAAATTAATCTGAGTTTAAGTTTCGATGAAATTCAAAATGGAGGTTGATGACATATGCAATAGTCAGCGCTGTTACTGATGTGTCAACAGCTCCCTCTTGAATCACAGATAATAATATTCCAGTTTTGAAATCCAAAAAATTTCAATGAATGTCAAAGAATTTCGTACGTGCACTTGAATTTCAATGTAAAATAATCACTTGAAATTGAAGAAAATAAAAATTCAACTCAAACTGGTCACAACATATGTTTAAAGCCCGACTGGCAAATTTTTATAACATGAGTTATAAGATTAACTAAAATGCAAAACATGCCTGGATGGGGGTCAAGAATTCAACCTTGCAGAAAAAAATAGATATTTGTTACATGATAATTGTCATGTACACCAGGAATGGCTTTGATTCCACTGGAAGAATATTACTCTTACAAAGAATACATTTTTTTTAAATGTTGTTTACCAGAACTTTTACTAGTTCTGAATCAAGGTCAAACTTTCTTGATGCCTACCCTGAAAACTATCCGTCTACACAACATAATAGAATTATACAAGTAACAGTAGATTCCCAGATTTTCTGAATGTTATGACCAGATTGCATCAATCTGAATAAAATCAAATCACTTTCTATTGTGAAGACAGCGGCCACTTAGGTGTCATGTTCTCTTGACCTTTGAATTATCCAGTGAAAATGCAGCTTTTCACATACACTGATCATCTTCAGCCACACTACTCAGTCTCCAAAACGCGAAGGTATAAGACTTTAATCTGATTGGCTGATAAAATTAGCAATTATGGTAATAAGATAGATAACTAGAACATGACATCGAAGCGGTCACTGTCATATCTTCACGTAGGACAGTGTATATATAATTTTAATCAGACTGAGATTTCATTTCATTTATATTAGACATCGGATTCATTAAGACGTTTGTTATTTCTCTATATAAATGTAGTGACTACTACACGTAGACTAAGAGATATGATTCATTAATGTCTAACTTTGTTTGATAAACTTGGTCGATACAATTCTTTCAAAAATATACTTAAGTAGGTATATAGACAGTTCAGATAGAATTATCGTATAACAACGTCTTTTTGAGTAATACCACAGGGCCTTTTAACACATATTCGCTAGCCCAAGGCTCTAATATGTCAATCCTATCGACACCTTGGTGGATCGAACATATATTTCACTGCTTCGAGTCTGGGAATTCCATTGGATGCGGCGGCGAAATCATGTACAAATTTGAGCACTGTTCCGACATGATCGAGACCTGGGCAGCACACAACAAATAGACTCATAAAAAAAATCAATTTTCTATTGCCGGTCCCTTTTTGTACAAGTACATTCTTTCCCTCAAATACGCCCGTAATGGCTTCTCTCTTGAACTTAATTATTATTTCGATGCTAACCTTACAAAGTATCCTTTTCAAGACAATTGGCTTCGCAATTTGAGACAGACGTACAATACGCTGCTGTCACACGTCATTGGTTAGTTGGTATTGCATCCTTAGGGAGACAGTTCATAAACTTGAATAGAAGTCGCTAGGACAAAGCATTGAAGTGTCCACTCGATCCGTCAAGGTGTAGATAGTGTTTAATATGGGAACCATGGTTAAAAATTGCTTTTAAGAAGGGAATGGGGAAACAGCGATGGCCCATTTAACAGTATGTGGAATTTCTGATCCAAATGCTGTGGATTATTTATCTGTCCCACGCATACTTGGTATGCCCTTAGAAAATGCACTTATATCCCATTTTCTTAGCACTACATAGCCAATCAAGTAGATAAGGTGTCGCTAAAAACAAAAGAGAACAACAGAACAAAATTGTCAAAGGAATATCAATATAAATCATGAAACCTTAATCCAGTTTTTGGTTACATGGAGAGGTAAAATGTAAGTAAACAGTAAGCTTTCTGGACCCACCAACCCATTTATTTCAGCATTACATCAGAAACACGATTATTTTTTTTCTTAGGCCTAGTAATTGGTGTGATAATTAAGCAGTCCTATCTTCTCTTTCCAATCCATATTTGAATACATGTATAAACAGTCTTCCTCAAGCTTATCTATGCTAGAGTCAAAAGTGAAGAATATTAAGTCCACAGGGGCTTCTTGATATTTACTGGCTCAATTTTCTTGCATTTATAATTAGACAATTGTTTTTCCCATTAGTCGATTCACCTACAAGGAATGATGCAAAAGGCAGTCAAACTATCGAATCTGTTACATAGCTTGTCAAACTGCATATA